AACTTAGAAAAGCCCATTGTTCTCTCCTTGCACTGTGGTGATCCCAAAGATTGTGTCCAGGTCATCAGGCTTGGCAGCACTGGCACTCTGTCAGCCACTTTGCTGGCCCTGTGGGTGTTTCTTCTGAAACAGGAGGGAACATGGATCTTCAATCTGCCTTGTCTCCAGAATAATGGATGGTACTTTTTCTGATGTTCAGCATCTGTTTCTCTTCTTAATCCAGTTTTCTCTGTTCTTCACCTTTGTGTGCCATGTTTCTTTTATTTTCTCTTTTCTTTTTTTTTCATCAAGAAATCCTCCATTCACTCTACATACCAACCACAGATCCCACCTTCTTCCTCCTCCCACCCCCAGCCCTCCCTCCCAAGCCACCCCCATCCCCACATCCTCCAAATCAAGGTCTCCCATGGGGAGTCAGCAGAGCCCAGCACACTCAGCTCAGGCAGGTCCAAGCCCCATCCCGCTGCGCCAAGACTGTGCAAGGTGTCACACCGTAGGCACTGGGCTCCCAAAAGCCTGCCCATGCACCAGGGACAGATTCTGATCCCCCTTGCTGGGTGTCCCCTAAACAGTTTGAGCTAAACAACTGTTTCCCGTATCCAGAGGGCCTAGTCCAATCCAATGGGGGCTCCAGAGTCATTAGTCCACAGTCCATGTGTTTCTACCAGTGTGGCCCGTCATCTCTGCACATTTCCCATCATGATCTCGACATCTCCCTTCCACAGAATCCCTCCTCTCTCTCATTGATTAGATTCCTGGAGCTCAGCCTGGTGCCTGGCTTTGGATCTCTGCATCTTCTTCCATCAGTCACTGGATAAAGGCTCTATGATGACAGTTAGGATATTCACTAGACTGGTCACCAGAGTAGAATGCTCAATCTTACCACAAGGATACATGCTCAGCTATGTTCATAGCAGCATTATTTATAATAACAAGAACCTGGAAATACCCTAGATGCCCCTCAACTGAAGAATGGATAAAGAAAATATGGCACATATACACAATGTAGTACTACTCAGCCATGTTTCTTTATATCCTGTTTTGAAAATACCAATGTTATTTGGCTTATTTGGAGATTGTCTTCTAAGGAGATGTGTCAGAGTGCTATGTTGAGAAACAGTGGATATATGATGTGTAATTATGTGAACTGACTAGACTGCTCAATGTGGTTCCCACACATTTGCTCAGCTATCATTTGAGCAGTGTCTGTAATAGCGTTTCTAAATGACAGGCATTTGATAGAAGTGTGAGTAGAATAGATTGCCCTCTCTCTTGTGGGCAAGCTTAACTTAGTCAATTAGTTTTACTAGGGCAAAATGATTGATCCTTTTTGAGGATAGCAGTCCTCCTTGTCTGACTACCTTGAGTTGGGATGTCATCTAGTTCCTGCAATGTATTATCCACTCACCCTGGTTCTGCTAGGATTTGGACTGGAACTATGTTCTTGTCTGTTTTGAGTCTCTAGCTTGCTTACAACACATTTTGGGATGAGTCAGCTTCCAAAATTGCATGACTAATACCTCATGATAAATGTTTTCCTCTTACTTAATACATTGTCTTAATTCAGCATCTCCAGAGTATACTCTCCCTTCCAGTCAAAATTTACAATTAGGATGGGCTTTGAAAGCAATCTAATTTGATTTGCTGTATGTGCTCAAGCAGCAGAATTGGTCTTCAGCACATGACTCTTGTGACATAGAAGGCATAAATGATTGAGGGGTCTGGGAAGGTAACTTAATGAACAAGTGCTTGCTTGACAAGTGTGAGGCCATGTTTAGTTTCCCAGCACCTATATGAAAGGCAGTTGTGTGGTCCATGCCTGTAATGGCAACACTGGAAGATAGAGACAGGGAGATCCTGGAGGTTTGATGGACAGCCTGTCTAGCCGAAATTATGAGCTTCTGGTTTAGTACAAGACCTTGTCTCAAAACAAGTAAGATGGGGGTGGAATTTGAGAGTTTATGGCTTGATGCTGTATCCAGTTTGCTCTCTGTTTGGTGGTTGGGATATGCTCTCTCAGCTTCCTGCTCTGGCCTACAGCTGCCAACTTCCCTACCACCATTATGGACACTCTCTCTGGAATGGCTAGCTAGATACACTCTTTTGTAAGTTGCTTTGGTTGTCGTGTTTTATCACAGCAA